TCCTGGGTAAGAATCACGTCCTTCCAAATCCTTTGTAAATACATCATGCTTATCAAATAATCATGAATATATTTGTTAAATTAAAAAAAAAATCAAGAATGTTAATTGTATATTGACTAGCTAATCCGGCAAACCTTTTTATGCCTTTTTACTGGCAATCACGTGTACCCAAAGAATTTTTTTTGGCAGCTTCTAATTAAAGATAAAACCAATACCAATTAGAACACTTATCAAACCTAGTGTATGAGTACAAGCTTCGATAATTTTTGTGGTTTCCGAGATTACCAAGTACTTACTAACAAACGCATAATATTTGTATGTATAGGTATATACTCGAAGATATATACAGAATAACAGTAACATATATTACTTTGTATAGTTCATATTTTGATATGTACCTAATCTTGAGGAGAGTTGTCAGTACTTATCTATATAACATCAACAAATATAAAACTTATATTATGCAAAACTATTTATTTGAACTTTCATTACCTATATATTTATACCTTAAGGCTATAGTATATTAAAATAATAAAAAAGCTATATAAACAAATAACATTATTTATTATTGAATGATTCAATAATATCTAATTAATAATTAAAGTTATTACTTAAATATCAATAAAAGTAAAAACACTTTACTATGTGCTAAAACTTAAATATTTTCGGGATTTTTTTTAAAACTTTGTAGATATAATATAGCGAGATAGCTAACAGTAAATAACACCTCGTATCTTAACCATCTTTACAACTCTAGTAATCTATTGATTTAAAAAAAATTATTAATGGAAAAATAACCTTACATAATTTTTAATTACGAGCCTAACTATTACAGCAAAACCTCTCCTTACAGACACCTCCTAATAGTTCTTTTTTTTGGGGGGGGGGGGGGCAAACTACAAACTTATATATAGACATGAAACTGTGAATAGATAAACCTCCACAGAGTTATATACAGCGAAGTTTCTGCGACCTAGAGTGTCCGATGTTTAAAGGTTTAAGTACTATCTATATTTACTATTTTTATTTCAGGGAACATAATTTATTGCCGCATGGTAAAAAAAATGTACTGATAATATTAATAAAATAACTGCTGCAAGTACCTATTTTATAACTCGTAATAAATTATTATACAAGCATTTTAGACCGAACATCTGAGGGGGTTGGAGTGCAATGGGAAAAGTCCCTATATTGTATTATATTATAGTGATACTATGATAGTACCTATATATAACATATATATTATGATATAGGTACCCATATTATGTGTATAGGGGAAACGCAAAAACATGACTCGAAAGCGAGTCGCGTGACCGTCCATCGGCTGCAACAACCGCAGTTACCTATACGTGTACACACGCACATCAAAAAGCGAATAGCGTATATATATATGTATGTATATTATTATTATATCGATCTCACGAGGGGTATATGCGGTACACGAGCGAGCCGTGTCATTGGTTCGGAATGACCACACCTACACGGTCGGGCAACGTTACCAAGGCAACCGCGGTCATATATAAATGCCAAAATGTGCACGCACACACGCACATGTTAATGATATAATATATATTATGCTATACCCGGTACCCATTTGTAGCTCTGAGTGCAGCGGACGTGAGAGTGTGTGTATACCGCCTAGCTAACAGCTATATAGATTATTAAAATATAATGCCAGCACCAAAGTACACTAGGACGCTGTATGTATAAGAATATATAAAAAACAACAATGTACCTAAATAATTGCATTCACTTCGCGAGCACAGTTTAAATACCAATCAATCGTTTTCCATTGCGATCGCACGACATTCTAATTATAACTATATGTAACCTATGACCTTAACGTGCTTACCTGTTTCTAAATTTTTAATCTCAATCATTCGTACAAAATAAAGTTCCGTTTTTAATTTTCACACCGTTATGAGGTATAGATGTACAAAAATACCACGGCAAATTTGAATTGAGTAAAACTTAAAAAAAAAAATAACCAACAACATAATATAGATACGCGTTATACATTTGTACATTATAAATTATAATTTATAATATACCTACCGTAAGTTCGTCGTCGTATATTAATATATTATCATATTTAGTCAGTTGTGTAAATATATATAATATTATTATCTCCTATTATATGTCACGGCTTATGTTTAAACTTAAAACACTTACTTGCTTTAAAGTTACTATAACAATTAATAGATAACTGTATATTGAGTATATAGGTATATTATAGGTACGCTTAATAAGGATACTCGCGTTATGCTTCTACTACTTTTTATACCATTATTATTTATCTCTGGATTATATTTTATATAATATTGTTGTTATGTTTTTCTCTGTCTCTCACTCTGAAAAGCGCAAAAATGCAGATTACTCCATTACGCCGCCAGCTACGAACACGCGAAAAAAGGGAAACCGAACGTTTGGTATATCCCAAAGTTTTTCCTCATTCGTCCACTGTCTCTCGCTGGTTTGGAGAGTCCCTCCCCCGCCACACCATCATATAAACTTGCGCTCGCGCATTCGCCGAACCCTCCCGGACGTTTCAGCTCGCACGCACATATTACTATAGGTATATATAGTAACCCTCGTCGAGCGTGGAACGAAACGACGCGGCTTTAAATTCTTCCCATAACTCAACCTCTCCCTCTCGACGCTCTCTCATTCCGTCTCTGTCTCTGTGTCTCTCTTTTCCCTCTGTTTCCCCCGTTTTAATAAAACCCTTCGACTCGCCTACATCTCTATATTATATGCGCGCTTTCTTACTATACATGTACATATATATATCATACACTTTCCTGTCAGTATATACATATAACAGTCGTCGTCGTCGCAGACTCCGCTCAGAAACGTATATTATTATATACGGGTATACCTCCCCACCCCACGTCACGACTATATCTCTGTATATTTGTATATACACTTCCCTCGACTCCTCGTCCACCCCCCTCACCATACCATCACCCTACGCGCTTGTATTCGGCACGTAAATGTGTATTATATTAACGCGCAAAATTTGCAAATAAAAAACAAAACATCACCGTGTTTGGACTGGTATATACTATATAATATGTGTGTGTATGTATATTATATAATTTATTATTATATAATATACTATATGAATGCACATGTTACCCTCCTAATAATTTAATGAATTTTAATATTGTATGCAATATAATATAGTCATCACTATACAGCCCATCACATCGTACCACAAACGAGCTAAAATATTTTTGTAGGTACACTACACGTACGTATATATACGATGTACCTATACCTATACTAATATAATAATAATTAATATCTTAATTATGTAATATCATATTCAACAATATTATGTTAAACCTATATTTTATCACCATCGTCGATTTTATTTTGTTTACTGTACCAAGGTTTTAGGTTTTTATAAAAAAAAATTAACAACAAAATATACAGCATCTTATTATTTTACCCGTGTGTAGAAATCATACGTCATATTAAAATACAACTTTTAAACGTCAACTTATAACATTCGTGGGTACGTTAGTTATGCAATGGCCCGCTGAGACATTATTTCATAGTATATAATACCAAAAACGCCATAAAAAAATATTCACGACGATCCCTAATAAGAATCATAAATTACTAAATCGAGTTATTGGTACATATTATATGAAAAACAAATTAAATTAAAACATGAAATATGACTAGCAAAAAGAAAAAATATTATACTTAAATAACAATTATTCAGTGATTTGTATTGTATACAAAATAGCCAATTTATGATACCTATTTTAGGTTATAGTATATTATGTGTCCATATAAGCTGGTATATTATCACTATATTCTAGCCAATTATCGGTTTAACATATCGACATAGTCTTATTAAAATTCCACGGCTCAATTGTATTGTTCCAATCAATAAGTTTACAAATTTGGTTGGCAGAACCGCTGCATAATGTGCGAATTGCTATTTATCTTTATATTCTTTTGGCACTTTTCACGCATTCGTTTATATAGTAATCAAATTCCGTGTCTACAGCCAAATTTCAATACCAACGCTGCTTGCTATATAACAGGTGTATCTATAATTATTCCACACATTGAAATATATATAAACACAATACGAGACTATAAATCACAGTCGAAAAATGCAAACGAAATACAAAATATAATGTAATTCAAATGAAAACACTGAAATATTAGCTGCAAATATAAATTAATAACTTTGAGAAATAAAAAAAAAATATATATATATATCAGATTATATGACAGTTCGACAGCCCTCCATATATTACTCATAGTTTTTTTTTTTTAAATATAAATACAAATAATACAACTGTGAGCTGTTTGGATGAAAAAAAAAATCAATCGACAAAATTCTTCGTATATAATATATGGTTGAAGTAGAAAACTGATATTTCACGTAAGCAGAAATGTGTCGAAGCGAATGTTAGTTATTTCAAAAAAATAATACACATTTAATAAAATACAATTTTTTCTAAATATTCGTTTTTGTATTTTCATTTCATCTTGTATCATCTTATAATATTTATAGAGGCCAATGATGAAGGCATATATTATTATTGTTACTTATATACTGTACGACTCGACCTCCCCCCACCTTGTTAGTAAAAATGCAAGAAAAAAAATAAACACATATGCACTTAGACATTTTTCCTCCATAAGAAATAACATTTTTTTTCCGATGACAGAAGTAGAACATAAATTTAAAAAACATTCGAAAAATACTTCATAAAAAAATTAAATCTATAAATGCTTTATGGGAAAATACTGTTACATTTTACTTTACTTGTAGAAATGTATTGTTTATATTATATAATATGTATTAATTATATTTCTAATTTATGTACTTCGTGTCAAGTGTGTGTTGATTAAATGTTTTGGTTTTTTTAACTATAAAATAATATTCAATTCACCACAATGTTATTATAGCTGACATTTTTGTGACTCATGAATAGCAGCTTTTTTTAATTTTGTTTTTTTTGTGATTGCAGGTCTAGAAGCTCAAGTACAAGAGACGTCCAAAGATCTATATTGGTTTTAAATGTTTTGATGAGAATGTTTGTTAAATTTCGGTAAAATATCATTCTTCCGTTGTTAATATTGAATAAGTGGTTTTTACGTGTGAAGTAAATAGTAATAGTTATACTCAACAGTCGACACCTCAAGGTTAGGTGGCAAGCACCCTTCCTATGTTCTTGAACACCAACAATAATTAGTCTTCGGCGGTATGCTTCTATACAAAGAACAATTTAAAGACGATATGATGTATTACGATAATAGTTATCATTAATATGAAATTAAGATCATGGCGATAAACGCAAAATTGAATAATTTTGTTTTGAAAAAACGTGTGTATTATAACTATATAAGCCGTGTTGTTTGACGTAGCTTTATTGTAAGGTATATACTAATATTATAAGGTATAGATAAACTATATAGTGCTAGAAATTTATATGATCACCAGATTCTAATTTAGCAGATATCCCAAAATCTGGGTGATTGGCAGTCATATTTTCCAACTAAACATATTTAAATTAAATTATTTTACATTTTTACTTTATTACTAGCAACTGAGTATTACACAAAATACATATTTTACTGTTGGTATATCAACAATTAAAAAAATTGACTAAATTATCAAAAATGATATTTAAAAATATAGATATCTAAATTTTATAAAATCTATAATTTTTTTTCAAACGCTCACCTATGTAATAAATAATAATGTATTATACATAACTGGGTGTTTCGCCACTTCTGCAATTTCAATCAAAAACTCGACAATTCTTGAAATGCCCGATTTTTTTCAATATTTGATGAATTTGATATAAATTTGAATAAATTTGATGAAAAAAAAATGGATCAATAAAAAATAAATAAGTACAAATTACAGACCTATAAAATTTATAATTTTACAGAATTTAATATTACAAAAGTAGGACGATCACAAGTTTTCACTGGAGACACTCTGCTATATAGAGGCGAACAAGTATAGATTAAAATATATTTATATTCGTGTCCTAATAATCTATTCTCATAAGTCATAATATTTCAATAATATTATGTTAAATTATATTATTATAATAATTCTAATAGTTGAACTCACATTACTCACTATATATAATATATATAATAATTTAGTAGTGTTATTTTTTATTTGTATACCTACACTTTTTAACGAATCTGTTTAAATGTATTTCATAATTTATATAAGATATTTCATTTTATATTATTATATTATTATTATATTTATTATACTTTGTAAACTGTTAGAATCGTGTGTTGATGTGCAATGTTAGAGTAGGTTCCTATATAGTATCATAGAAAATATTATATGATATTTACTCGGATATTATTATTATTATTATTATCATATATATTAATATATAATAATTGATAACCTACCAAAGGTATACTATCGTAATTGTATAAATATAATAATTAAGACTTGTACTTATAATATTAATGTTGAACAAATATATAATATGTATCCCAAACGTAGATACGAGATCAATAAAATACTGAACAGTATGAAATACCTGAAAAATACGTCATGACTATGTTATTATTTTATTTACTTTAAGCAATACAGCAAAACCTATGTCCTATTTTGCATATTGTTTAATATAATCACAGATTATTTTATATGATTGTGATATAATGTTATATCCCTCTTTTACCTATATATCCAATCTTATTCCGTTCGATATTATGTTGTTAAAACTATAGTTAACCGATCAGAATTAATTGGCAATATTAATAATTTACTAAATGTAAAGAGTATAAGTGTCGAGGATGAATCGATTAGATATACATGTACGAACAAATTAACATTGAATGGTCAATATAGTATACAATATAAATATATTATAGGTACTATAAGGTTATTGTACACAGAGAAGGGTAGTAAAAAGATTGGTGTATCAAGTGCTACTATATTATGAATATATCAAGAATTTAGTGGTGTCTTGCAGGTGACAGTGAACACTTATGTATAGTAAGCCAATAAGGCTGCAGTGGATGCATTGGAAGATACTGCAAATGATGTAGCGATGATATTATTTAATATGGAGAAGATTCTAGATGGTTGGACAATTTGGTGGGTTAAACATATCTCAAGTGTTTGTGTGTGTGAGAGAGAGAGAGGCGAACCACAACTCAAAGAAGAAGAGGAGTGCAGACAAAAATTAATCGAGAATACCGTACTTCTACAGAGTGACTCACCAAACGCGCTCAGTTTTGTTCAACCCCCTTTTCATCCTCTAATAATGCATTTATTCAAATTCTGATTATTAAGTACCTATACTCTTAAAGACTATATTTTCAAATAAGTACTTAGATTTTTCACACCATTTAAGGTGTATTCTGTGACGATCCTACATCTATTTATTTTCAATTGAGATTCCCATTTTTTCATCGTAAATTGTTAATCGGATGATTTTATTGAATATAATTGTGTCTCATCTAAATAAGCGAAATTCAAACGAGTAGTTTCAGAGTTATTTAACAATTATTATTATGTCATTATGTATTAATGCTTAATGATAATAGTCCTTAACAAAGGTTGAAGGTTTTAAATTTTCTATATTTGACATCAAATACGAAATATACCGATAGGTAATGTATAGTCCATTACATAGTCATATTATACTCAGTCAACTCTTATAAATTAAAAAATTTTAATGAATGGAATATTAATAACTATAATATTTGATTAACCATATATTTTCAAACTTAGTATACATAAAGGGTTCCTAAGACGACTAATTGTTAAGAATAAAAAATTATTTTCAGACCTACATTCTATATGAGATTATGTGAGCTATATTTTTCGGAAACGTATTTGTTCAGAAATATTTATAATGCGTATACGAATATATTCCATACATATTTTAGATATTGAACGGAACTATGAATATATTGATTTTACAGTGATGTGTGTTTTTATATTTATTAATTTTTTTTTTGTGTCTGTCATCACGGTTTCTTGCAGTAAAAGTGCTTCAATTTTCTTCAATAGCAGCTTCTCTGATAGGTAAGTGAATCTAGTTGGTGCATTCGGAAGGTCAAAATTTAAAATTCCCAATAGTTTTCAAAAGCAACAGGAAAAATAAACAAAAAATTACAGAAAAACGAGAATTTTTACGCAAAACCATTTTTCGAAAAAATCGATTTTGGTTTTTAGTGTACCCTAACGGAAATGATCGTAGAAACATGAAATGTTTACTGAATATTTTTGTAAGCATTTTTTATACACCATACAAATATTTTGATTTGTGTTGAACTATTTCTAGGCAACTGAAATTTTCGATTATTATTTGTTTTTTTAAGCTCAAGTCGATAAAAAAATGTTCGCTCGGTCAAAAGCTTGAAAATATAATACGAGGTTCCTTGGTCCTTGTAAGCTGTTGTTGATGGAAATTAAAAAAAAAGTTTAGTGTATATCCACAATAATCTTTTATGAGCGTTTAAACTTAGAATTTTGACAAAATTCATATAAATTATGAAAATTATCAAATTATATTTAGCTAGAAATGTATAAAAAATTTTCTATTTATATCTAAGATTTAAAAATTGAATACAAGATTCCTCGCAAGTTTGTCTTAAGTTATCAAAAAAAAAATGTCTACCGGAAAGTAAAAAAAAATTTTTTATGAGCGTTTGAAGTTGAAATTTTTACAACATTGAATATTCACTCGATTTCTCTTGTAGCGATTTTCTTATTTTGTTGTAGTTCAAAAACGAATTACTGTAGACACTTGAAATTCACACTAAATGTTTATTTCGTCAATTTATATACTTGATAACATTTTCGGAATATTCTGACTCGTTTTAGGCTGTTGACGGACATTTCCATATTCCTTTTTTTTCTTATTTTTTTCTATAAATGTCAATAAAATAGTATTGGTTGGGTCAAAAAGCATAAAAATTTAATACAAGACTCCTGATAACTTGTTACAATAGCAGTTGAAATATATTAAATACACAGGCACGTTTTTTTTCATAAGCATTTAAAGTTCAAATGTTGACAATATTTATTAAGTTGAAAATTGAAAATGATTTTGTTGTTAAAAATGTATACAATTTTCAATTTTTATAGCTAAGGATTGAAAATTTAAAACGAGGTTCCACTTGCACAGTTTTTTCCGTAACTAGGAAATCTAAAAAATGTATGAATACATATATTTTTTACAGACATTTTAAGTTAAAATTTGGACAAAATTGCATATTAACACAAAGAATAACGGTTATCGTTTTGTTGTAATTCGGTTCTAAAATAGCCTAATTTTACATCAGTATATTTAATATTTTTCCAGTATCGCTGATGATGTAATAATAATATTTATTCAACTTACCGGCTACCATATTAGTAATAACTAATAAGTAATAACAATATAAAATATCCTAAGCTGACATACCGTCTCCGTCAGAATCGTTTTTCGTATACAATGGTCAATGATTTGATCATTGAATTCAAATTTAATACCATCCATTACAGCGACCCCTTAGGCACCTAATGTACATATGAGCGACATCCACTTACCCACGTTTTCCAACTACAATTACAAATGAACGTGTGTCAGAGGAAATACACCACCAAAAAGTGGTATTTTTTTTTTTTAGCAACGTATAAGGTATTTGAATTTCGCGTGCATAAAACACGAAAAAAATTAAGTATACCTACAAACCACGACGAAAACGACTCACGAACGTTGTTGTAGCAATAATATTTTCTTTATAATATTTCAAACTGACGAGAAGTTTGAGTCATCTTATATTGTACATTTGTACATATAAATCGCATAATATAACAATAACATAATACTATTATAACAATGGTATACTATCAGATATAAGTGTGACACACGTCGTGTGACATTTATAATTTGCTATATAGATTATAGATACCTACAGAAATATACGATTGATACGAACTTGGCAGGGCGCAGCACACGAGACTATAATATATGTATAATAATGTTACTAATATGTCAGCTTTAAATCTGCAACAAGGCCCCGTATTTGAAAAAAAGCGAAGAATTCTATCGTGTTTTTTTATACTCCTAAACTCAAGATGCAGTAATATCATGTACGAGCACAGGTGGTCGAAGGTACCTTATGCAGGCCCAAAATAAGATATAATGTCTCATATATATTTATATTATTATAGGTACAAAATATTTATACGATTATAGGTTTAAAGTGTAATTGTTATGTATATTTATAAAGAACGTATTATACAGTTGAGTCTCTGTGTAGATCTGAATTTATGACTAATTCGGTCTGGAGAATAAAACTTAGGTAGTTGAGTTCAAAAAAATATAGGATTTTCTACCCTTTTCACAGGACTGCAGTCTGCAGTACAGAATTAATTAGACTATCTATTAATTCTAAAACAATTAATAACTATCCTTAAATGCAAGCATGTATTTAATTTATTTTATAATAATTGTTATTGTTGTTAAATATCCTTACCGAGTACCGTCGATCGACAATAATACTGAATTTTGTGTATTAATGAAGTAGATAATACAAAAATAGTCAAATACAATATCAATGCTCGCCTGTTTAATCAGTCTCGAGGGAGGGGGGGGGGACAAAATATTTAAAAAGGCAAAA